CTCTGTCAATATATTTAGAGTTTTTTTTGTGTGAAAGAGCATCTCATGATGCAGGGCATCACAGAGTTCTTTTTTTTAAATTCTTACTTATTTAGCGAAAAAAGGCATCATAAGTTCAATAACTCAAAAAAGAGACAAAAATGGATGTTTATGTCTGTATACGCAATAAAAAAAGTTTAATTAAAAAAATGACTCTGTGGTGCTCTGCATCTTGACGTGTTCTTTCAAACAAAACAAAAATTTAAATATATTGACAGGGCCTGGATCGAGAAATCTTGGACAAAAGATAAAAAAATCATAAATCGAGAAAAAACGAAAAATATTTTTCGTTTTTTTAAAAATAAGCATATTTCTCAAGCATAGGTCAATGAAAATCATCGAAAAAATTTGACCAAAAACCAGGTACTGAAGAAAAACCAATGTGGCTTCTAAAAGAGCAGAAGACAAGCTATCTTCCCATGTATTTATCTCAATTTCGACGGTTTTGACCAAAACGGACACTTTTTGAGGGGAAAGGCCTTAATTTTCTATATATTTGTTTTTTTACATAGGATACACGTCGAACTATCAACAAGTTTATCATTAAAGAATATCGTGAAATTGCCATATGGAGCATTGCATTATTGATAAATAGCTGTACATGGATAGAATTTAAATACAATTGGAAAATAATCTGTCTTGTTTTTCTTGAAATACATCGTGGTGAAAAACATATAAAACAAAAATATCAAGATATATTATTAGATAAAATACGAAAAATTAAATCTGATTCTGATACTTAGAGTGCCGTTAAATCTTCTAATTATTTTGAAAGTGATAATCCAACAGATTTATATGATTCAAATATTTATTACTTTTATGATGACAAATATGATGCTGATGATGATGATCCCGAACCAAATAATAGATTTTTAAAAACAAAAACAAAAAATGTATGAAAATTGATTGATTAGACAATTGTTTAACAATTTGATGAAAGAAATCATACAATAAATAAATAATCATTTCATATAGAGATCTTGAGATCAAGAAAGGATCACGAAAAGGGAGTAATCCTCATAAGATTTGGAAATTTTGTTTTTTCAAACTTTTTGGTAAAAATTCTAAAATAAAAACAAATTTTTCAGGTTAAAAAAATCATCATTCCTTTCCTACCCAGATTTTCTTACTTCGGTTAATTTGTTTCAAAATGATTTCCAAAAAATAATCGCACTTTTTCTATTGAGCGTACATAATTCAAATGTTTGTCTTTTGGATATATAAATTAAGTAATGGAAAAATATCATATTGTCATTTCTTCATTCTGTTAAAATCAGCGTTAAATCACGAATGCGTCTGATAATATTTTTTCATTAAAGCTTCAATAGTGTGCGTCTGGATAATTTGATACAAATTGCACTTGGAGTTTTCATCTGTTTTATCTTTCTTCAAAATTTCTCTTCCTTTTGATACAGATAATTGTTGATGAAGAACAAGAAACAAATGGTACCAAATCCAAATTTAAAACTGTTATTAATAAAATATTCTACGATGCACTTATTGATACTGGAATATCAAAAGAAGACGTTTTTGGTGCTCGATCTTCTGCTGTATTGAAATGGTTTAAATATTTGACTAGATATTTTATGCCGACAGCACCGATATGGTCAAACATGTTATTAGGTTAAAATTTGTTCTTTAAAATTAACATATTACTATTAATGATGTTTAAGAGAGTCTCCACGATATCATCAAGCATGACCTCAGTATATGAGGCACTCGTCAAAATTAAAATTTTTGATTTTTTATGTACATTCGAAAGGACAATGTCTAAAACTATTAACCCTAAATTTTTAGCTCATTTGGACTTTTTATAGTGAAGTTAGCCTGGATCGACTTTGACCACTGTCTACCTAGTGTCAAGAAAAACAATGATAAATCATCTCATTAATGTCTGATAGTATTACACTACTAAGAATGAGAGAATTTTTTCATGTTATATACCAAATGATAAGGTATGGATAGATGAAAAAAATGAGCTATATAAAATATTGTATATCATTCCTTTACTAGGTTAACATGAATGAAAAAAGACATTAATGCTATGATTTATCATTGTTTTTCGTAATACTCTGTAGACAGTGCTAAAAGTCGGTCCGGGCTAACTTTACTATAAAAAGTCCAAATGAGCTAAAAATTTAGGGTTATTAGTTTCAGACATTGTCCTTTCGAATGCACATAAAAAATCAAAAATTTAAATTTTGACGAGTGCTGTCGTTCCTTGGTGCTGTCATGGACTCTCTCTTAATATAGGAAATTTAAGTCGTCATCGTCGACTTGCTGTCAAATCATTTGAAAATTTTACTATTGCTCAACTTGAACAACGAACAACAGCAATAAGTGAAAGAAGAATGGGTATACTAAAACGCACGCAGTTAGGTAAACTACATATTTTATCTTAATTTTTATTAACAAAATGATAATAATAGAACATTAAATCATCCAAAAAAATTGGATGTAGAATTTTAATGAGTTGTTTTAAAAATTAAATAGAGAATTCTTTTTTTCATAGATGGTCTTACACAAAAACATATATTTTTAAAATATTAATTCTTTTCGATAATACTTTTAGGTGGTCAAATTTATCTATGATTAGATGTTCTTTTGTCAATTATTATTCCTGATATGTTAGTTTTAATTGATGAATATTCGAATGCAACTATGACTCATTCCATGATTACACAAATTGATTCAAATAATTCATCAACATTATTAGATGAAAGACGATTAAAACCTATTGAAGAACGTTGGAAGAAAATAACCAACAAAAGAGGTCGTGGTTATTATTCAAAAGGTCCTCAACAGTCAGTTTTTGCTGATCTTGTTTCATTACTTCTATTGAGTAGGAATGATGTCAATGCTGATCTTAAATTACCAAATCTAACACCAAATTATCTGAATGTTGCTATTAGTTTATTACTCTCAACAGGAAATGAAACTGGTGGTCGTTATGAACTTTCATCATCATCATTAAATCATAATTGTCCGTTACTTGACGTTGTTAAAACGTTTATAGAAGAATGGTTTAGTTCAACATTAACTCAGACTAATAAGCGACGTTCAACAACAATCAGTTTTTCTTTACCAACAGATATGTTACTTGATAGTTTTCAACAATCTACATTTATTCTAGAAAAAATTCTTATTCCGTTACTTCCATGTCATTTAGTTGCCAATAAAATATATTCGTGTAGTACTTGTGAAAAAAAAATGAAAATAAAAACCACAATTACATCAATATCAATCAATATTCATCGAAGTGGTCTTCATTTGAACAACGATATAAATTCTTTTTTTGGACGAAGCCCTTCAGATATCATATGCACATCTTGTAGTAAACCTACAACTCGACATATCGATTTTACAGAATTTCCTTTAGTATTAATTATTCACATCAATGAGTCGCCAATAGATATCCAATATAGGAAACCACATGATTTTGTTTCTCTTAACCCATTCGCTGATTGGCGGGTTCTTGGTTTTCCATCATCCGCTATGTACAATTTAGTTTGTTTTAATAGTATCATACGATCAGATGGAAATGATTTGATGCTACGAGTAACAAAAATAAAGAAAAGTTGGTCAACAAGTATCAATAAACGAGTAATTGGTAATGGTGATTTACTCAAACGTCTTTTTGCTAATAGTCGTAAGTATGAATACTTACTATTATTTTAAAGAAATTGGTTTTTTAATTTTGCTTTGTTTTCCAAAAAAAAGACTTATTATTTATTAATTCATTTTTTTTAAGAATAGTTCAACTCAAGCTTTTTATTTGATTAGGAATTTTGGTGTTTGAACGTATTGATAACAAAACTAAATTTAATCTTTTTCAAGCAATTATTAAATGTACAGTGAATACAAATTTTACTTCATCTAATAATATTCAATCATGCAGAACAATTCAAGAGATTTGTTCAATAATTGAAACCAATCCTCAATTTCATGAACTAAATAATAAACTTAATGCCAATATTAAATCCTACTTTCGTTGCAGTTTTTGTGGTGATACACCGGATAATCTTTCATCATCAGATAATCAAATATTTATCTTCAAACAAAATATGAATAATCAACTCGTCGGTTATCCAGTGCTGTCTAATAATATGAATCAAAATAATACTAGCTGGATATGTAATAGTTGTAATAATTCAACAAATAATCTTGAGATGGATATTCATAAACAAGTTTTTCTTAAATGCCCATCTTGCTTAATTGTGAGTTTTTTCATTTTTGTTTGTTGCACATGATATATATAGAGATTCCAAATCATATAGATCGTATGATATATTCACCTGTTAACTGTGAAGAACAAGTCAATCTGTAGAAAAGTTTTTGGCTATGATTTTAATCCTTTTTCGTTGATTTCAACTATCTGCCTTATTTTCATGAGTTCTTTTTTTTAAAATTCCTACAACCTCCAAAATAAGATCTCTATTACTAAAAAAAAATTATCTTCTACAATGACACTTTTAATATTGTATTACAATATGTATATATATACATGTTTTTTTGACGCCATTATCAATAGCTCGTACCGTCTCTATTCTCCTTTCGATGTCTTATGGAGGATGTTGCTAGTTAATATATTTTGAATTATATCTTTATTTATCAATTTGTTCTAGAAAAATTTCATTTAATAAAAAAATTTCTTTTACTACTCTTAGACTTGTATCAATCCAAAAGTTGAAAATAATCCATTAGATAATCATATTTGTTTACGTGATATGGATGATAAGGAATACAACTATGGTGCAACTGCTTTACTGTGTTTTAGTGCTTATAGTGACAATGTTGGTTTAGTCAAAAAAAAATCAAATAAATATGTACAATTAATTGGTGATGCATTTTCTGAAGAGACATTATTAACATTTAGTAACTTGTCAGATATATTTGATACTAGTTCTTCTATACTCATTTTTCATCCTCAGGTATATATAGCTGGATCTGTTCGTATGTTTCTTGTTGAAGCATATATGTATAAGACGAATAGTTGTTTCGAGTATTCAACTTCTCCGGCAACTAATCCATTTTGAAGCTGTTCAGCTTTGAATTTTTATAATTCGAACGTTTAACTATTCGACGTATAAATATATGTTTTCTTTGTCTATTATATGTATATAACATATTTTATTATTTTATTATTTCTTTCTTTTCCTTCATTCGTTTAGATAAATCAAACAACAAATGGAAATATTTAAATTAGAAAATTATAATGACTGTTAAAATGATATTCCATTATTAGATTTTTTTTTACTGTTTATATTCAAATAAAAACTCAATGACAAAAGTCAAATAATTAAAACATTGTATTTACATAAACGTATCTGACCTGTCGATCATTTACTAGAATTTTTCTTAATAGGCCGTGTTACAAAATTTAGGATTTGAATATAAAATAGAAATTCAGATAAACTATTTGTATTTTATCATATGATGTTGTACGTTTATTACTGCCAAATTCAGAGTCATACTTTATTCTCTCAAGTCCCAATGAACAGAAATGCGGAGTATTTCATCAAACATCAGGATGAAAGACTGAATATTAAAGGAAATTAATCACCAATAACTCTGTAAAACTCATATCTATGTATGTAATCTTCAGTCTGTGTGTCTGTTTCTCTGTGCCACGTCAAAAGTTAAGGGTTAATGGTCATGTAAGGCTCTAAGGGAAAGGCGCCAAGGGCTGTTATATGGAGGTACTCATAGGTCCTCATGGGCTATTCTATAGAGTTGTCAATAAGTCCTCATGGGCTATTATATGGAGGTACCCATGAATCCTCAAGGGCCGTCCTATAGGGTACCCATAGGTCATGAAGGATGTCAGACAACGAAGGGATAAGGCTACAAGTGGTACAAGGGGTATAAGGCTATAAGGACATAAGGCTACATGGACTATAAGAATATGTGCGATAAAAGTGTATGAGGCCGCAAGGCTTTGATCTATATACGTAATATTGTGTATTGGTATGTCTGTTATCGAATGAAAAGTTAAACGTCTGAAGTCAGTCGTTAAAGAATAAACCAGTCGTGCAGTTTGCACAAGTTCTCGCTAGTATATATATAGTGGTAAAATATAATAAAGAATATACAATTATTAAGATTAGTAAATATTTCAAAGATTACAGATGAAATATTATACTCCTTGTAAAATCAGATTTAATATATATTATTCTCTCGAAAATCTAGTAATGTCAGATAATACATTGTGCTTAACTCAAAAATGAATAACAGTTATCTCTGGATAAACCTGAAAAACATCCAAAGCATATTTTAGATATATCCTATGAAGCTCCAAGAACAATTCTCAAATATGGGATCCCGAATCTTGCGCACCGCGAATCTTGCGCACGGAATGTTGCGCACAACGAATCTTGTGCACAGAAATTTACGCACACGAATCTTGCGCACGTGAATATACGCACGAGCAATTTGCGCACGAGATAAAAAATTCATATTTATGAGCGGCAAGACAATAAAAGTCCAAGTGGGTAGAAAGTTCAAATAAAAATATCCGAAATAGGTTTAATTAAAATACTGTTAAGAAAATAAATGATTATATCCATAAGCTCATTAACTGGATAAAAAAATTATTTTTTGATCATCTTTAATTGACTTTGTCATGTACATTAAGACACTAAAATATACACGGATGAATAATTATATCATCCGCATAATCATAAATCCTATATATTAGACATGATTTCTTTTATATTTTGATCTCATCAAGATGAGCTCGCTTTAAAAATAAAATGTTGCGTATGTAAAAATGATCATTCGTAATCTAAGTAATTCCAAGTTATACAGCAATATGTGCACTCCTGTTGAATTTACTGTTACCACAAAAGATCGCCCATTAATGATAATAGATGGTTACTGTTATATACAAGATCGTCGAACCGACGACAAAACCTATTGGCGTTGTGAAAATCATAAAACTTTTAATTGCCATTATCGGATACACACATGTAATTCTACTATTACTTCAACACATGTGAAAATATTGAAACAAAATGGTAATCATACAACAAGCTGTAGTCGTGATCAAATTAAAATATCACTTAGAAAATTTCGTGAAAATATTGTCGATCGCACATATAATACTCAAGAATCAACAGATAGAGTTTTGTCACATTGTGTATCACAATTATCTGATGCAGCACGTATACGATTACCACCATTAGATCATGTTAAACGAACAATTCAAAAACAACGAAAAAAAAATGACTTACCACAAGTACCAAATGATGTTAATTTTCTTAATATTCCTACGGTTTTACAAATAACAAAACGAAACGACATTTTTTTACGCATTGATACAGAACCAGGTAAGAATGCATGCTTCCATTGATGACATTATGAGAGATATTTTCTAGAGAGTTCGATAAATAACATACTTTAATATTTTTGTTTAGGTCCTGATCGGCTACTAATCTTTTGTAGCTCTGAACAAGCTACAATCCTGGAATCTTCTATTGATTTTTGCACTGATAGAACATTTGAGGTATATTACATTAGTTTTAATTGAGCTCTTGCATATTAATCAAAAGTTTTTGTTTTATTCCAAATCGTTCCAAATATATTCTACCAATTATATGTAATTCATGCTGTTCATCGTGAACATGTTATTCCAGTAGCATTTTGTTTACTTCAACGAAAGACCACCAACACATATCAAAATATGATCAATAAAATTTTAGAATTTGCACCAGCATGGAACCCACAAAATCTAATGATAGATTTCGAAAAGGCAGTTATGAATGTTTTTTCAACTAGTTTTCCACAAGCGTCTTTATCTGGATGTTATTTCCATTTACGACAAAGTATACATCGACAATTGCAGGTATGATTAATAATATGATGGTAAAATACATAACTTCGCCCATATTACGTACATTTTATTTCAGGCTCAAGGCTTGCAAAAGCAATATGAAGATGATATTGATTTTGCCCATGGTATTCATAAGATTGCAGCATTAGCTTTTATTCATCCAGATGAAGTTACTGATGCATTTACACAACTTAGTACTCATCTCGGTGATACATTTCAAAGCATGTTAGATTATTTCGAGGACAACTATATCGGCAGAATTCGTGCTAATGGCTCACGTACACGACCATTATTTGCTGCTGAATTTTGGAACGTTCATGAACGAACGAAAAATCTACAAATGAGAACAAACAATTCAGCAGAGGCGTGGAATAGACGCATCAGTAAGTGTAAATGTCAAATAAAAATCTACTTTGTATTAACAGACAATATTCTGATTTTAGAATGTGTTTTTCAATGTTCACATCCAACTTTATGGAAGTTTATCGATAAATTAATATTAGAAGAAGATTCACACATTCATACGAAGATCTGTCGAGTTAATGCTGGTGAACCAATTGCTAAAAAGAAAAAATACCAATACCTCGATAAACGTTTGCACAATCTAGTTACAAATCCTTATCAAGATATTATCAATCAAATTACTGCTCTAGCTCACAATATTGTTCTTTAGTACAATAACAACAAACAAAAATTTATTTCGTGTTTTTTGTCACTAATTATTATATAATTTTTGTAAATACAATATTTATTTTGTTGCTTCTGTTACATCTTTGTATTTTGATTCGCTGTCGAATATCAAAATATGAATTTTCTATCGTGCGCAAGCAGTCAGTGCACAAATTACTCGTGCGTATATTCACGGGCGCAAGATTCGTGTGCGTAAATTTTTGTGCGCAAGATTCGTTGTGCGCAACGTTCCGTGCGCAAGGTTCACCGTGCGCAAGATTCATAGACCCCTCAAATATATCGCAAAAAACCTTCAAAAATCATCCTTGTATAGACCTGAAAAATCTTTTAAAAATCATCGTTTCATAAAGCTAAAAACCTCTAAAAACTAGGGGGGACTTTAACCTTTAATGCTTAAAGTAGCACTTTAACTTTAAAAAATTTAAAGTTAAAGTGCATGTTTAATTGTAAAACAAAATTTTTCTTAAAAATTCATAAAAGTTAATAAACATTTATGAAAGTACCCGTAAGTCTTCATACACTCTAAAACGAGGTCATCGACAAGTAATCATCGATTATATAACGCGGCTACCCTTGAGTCATCCACTACCATATAATGGGTGTACTCCTCGGTCATCGAATGCTACATATGGGGGTACTGTTGGATCATCATATACGATATAATGGGGTATCCTTGAGTCAACATATACGATATATTGGGGGTACTCTTGGTTCATCATATACAACCTGTTGGGGGCGCCCTTGGTTCATCGTATACTAGAGGGCCCAAGGATACCTACTAATAGTAAGACTTAGGGGTACTCAAGCTCAGCTCAAGCACACAACTAATGAGTCGTTGAAAACGCTCACTGAGACGAACTGAACTGTTCAAACAGTTCATTTGAGCGAACTGACCTTTCTCATACAGCTCATCTCACATGAGCTGAACTGTTCGAGCAGCTCACTCGAACGAGCCGACCTTTTCGAACCGCTCATTTCAAATGAGCTAAACTGTCAAAACAGCTCATTTGAGCGAACCGTACTTTTGAAAGAGCTCATTTCATATGAGCTGAACTGTTAGAACAGCTCATTTGAACGAACCGAACTATCTGTAGGGGTACCCATAGGTCCTCAAGGGCTACCCTATAGAGCTACTCTATAGGGGTACCCATAGATCCTCAAGTCCTATACTATGGGGGTACCCTTGGGTCATTAAGTCCTATACTACGGGGGTACCCTTGGGTCCTTAAGGCCTAAATTAGGGACACCCTTAGGTCCTCAAGTCCAATTTTGAAAAAAATTGTTTTTTCGAAAATCTTTTTTATGCAGAAACACACTTTTTGAGAAAAAACAATTTTTTTGGGACACCCAAAATTTTGTTTGAAAAAAATTTTTTTTCTTAAAATATCAGTTTCTGTATAAAAAATTTTTTTTCAAACAAAATTTTGGGTGTTTCCAAAAAAATTATTTTTTCTCAAAAAGCCTGTTTCTGCATTAAAAAAAAATTTTCGAAAAACAAATGTTTTTCAAAAATAGGACTTGAGGACCCAAGGGTATCCCCATTATAGAGTATAGGGTGGTCTAATGGTACTCCCACTATATTGCATTATTTGGTCTATGTGAAGCGAGTCGCAATTTTTTGGCTAGCGTGTTTGGATAAATTCCCTTGACCTCATTAATTCATGTTTTAATGGTGCAAATTGTTTTTTGACAATGTCATCCATAGATTTATTTGGAAATAAGATATACATTAAACGTGATGGTACATAACTTGGTCCACGACTTAATAATTGCAATTGTTTATCAGAGAATTGATGTGTTGTATCAATAAAAATTGAAGATGAACCTCCAATCATTTTCATTGTTTGTTCAATTTCATTCATATTTATCTAATTTAATTCATCATAAGAATTTTGAAGAATATAATCAATTCTTTAATTATAAACGCCTCTCCAACGATTAGTAATATTATTGAGACGTTGTTCAAGTATATTAATTAATGTTGTAGTCATTCCTTGATCTTTAACAAGATTACGATGATTTTTTCACATTTTAGATAATTCATAATCGAATAGATTTTGAAATCGATAATA